ACACACCAAACATGTGGAAGAAGGTCTGGTCTGCTCTGGTCAGATAAGCCAAAATCAAACTTTTTGGCCACAATGCAAAACGATATGTTTGGCGTAAAAGCAACACAGCTCATCACCCTGAACACACCATCCCCACTGTCAAACATGGTGGTGGTAGCATCATGCTTTGGGCCTGCTTTTCTTCAGCAGGGAAGACCCATGGGAAGACCCATGGCTAAAATTGATGGGAAGATGGATGGAGCCAAATACAGGACCATTCTGGAAGAAAACCTGTTGGAGTCTGCAAAAGACCTGAGACTGGGACGGAGATTTATTTTCCAACAGGACAATGATCCAAAACATAAAGCCAAATCTACAATGGAATGGTTCACAAATAGACGTATCCAGGTGTTAGAATGGCCAAGTCAAAGTCCAGACCTGAATCCAATCGAGAATCTGTGGAAAGAGCTGAAGACTGCTGTTCACAAACGCTCTCCATCCAACCTCACTGAGCTCGAGCTGTTTTGCAAGGAAGAATGGGAAAGAATTCCAGTCTCTCGATGTGCAAAACTGATAGAGACATACCCCAAGCGACTTGCAGTAGTAATTTTCAGCCAAAGGTGGTGTAAAGTATTAGCGCAAGGGGCCGAATAATATTGCAAGCCCCACTTTTCAGTTTTTTATTTGTTAAAAAAGTTTCAATTATCCAATACATTTTGTTCCACTTCACGATTGTGTCCCACTTGTTGTTGATTCTTGACAAAAAATAGAAATGTTATGTCTTTATGTTTGAAGCCTGAAATGTGGCGAAATGTTGAAAGGTTCAATACTTTCGCAAGGCACTGTATTTTGGTGCGAGACCACGGAGAGACTTATATACAAGGAGAGCTGATTTAAAATCTATTCTCTGAGCCACAGGTAGCCAGTGCAGAGACCTGAGGACTGGACTAATGTGGTCGTACTTCCTGGTTCCTGTCAGGACTCGAGCTGCAGCATTTTGAATATACTGTAGGGAGCTAGTGGAGTGATTTTAACACCGGAGTTATGTGCTCCCTCCTTTTGGTACCTGTTAAGATCCTAGCTGCTGTATTCTGAACGAGCTGGAAGCTCTTCAAAGAGGCTTTAGGGCACGCTGCCAATAAAGCGTTACAGTAGTCAAGTCTTGAGGTGACAAAAGCGTGGTTAAGTTTTTCCGCGTCACTTTTAGGAAGGAAATTCCTGATTTTAGCGATGTTCCGCAAGTGGAAGTACGCCGTTTTAGTTGCTTGGCTTATATAAGCCTTAAGGGAGAGCTCTTCGTCGAAAATGACTCCAAGATTCCTCACAGTGTTACTGGGTATGTTGTATCTTCTTCTCCGCAGAAGATGGGGTTTCCCGCACAAACCAGTATAGTGTTGGAGAAGGAATGCACTCTGAGTTATGTATTAAAGAAAGAGTTTAATGGCATAATCAGAATACATCAAGTCCAATTCAGGCTTAGCGCGTTCAGCCTGGGTCAGCTCCGAGAATGAGGATGGTATGACTGACAAAGAACACATTAAGCACAGAGCTCTTATAGAGATAGAATAGATAGATAGAATACTGACATTATCGAGAGTAATTATCTGGTTAGTGAGGGAGTCACGCAGGCGCTTCGGACCGAGTAGGATCACTTCTGTCTTCTCCGGGTTGAGAAGTAGGAAGTTAAGAGTCATCCACATTTTAAGGTCCTTTATGCAGGCACTGAGCTTTTCTAGCTGATCTGTCTGATTAGGCTTCATCGACAGATAAAGCTGTGTGTCATCTGCAGCAGTGGAAATTAATTCATGCTTTTTAATAATGTTTCCTAATGGCAGCATGTAGAGAGTAAAAAGAATCGGTCCGAGTACCGAACCCTGCGGCACACCGAATTCTACTCCAGAATAAGGCGACGAGTTCTGATTTACGTTGACGAAGTGATACCTATCCGATAAATAGGATTTAAACCAGCCAAGGGCTGTTCCTCTAAGACCTATATCACATTCTAGCCTCTGCAGTAGAATGCTGTGGTCTATTGTGTCAAATGCAGCACTAAGGTCCAGTAGGACCAGCACTGACACTTGTCCATTATCAGCAGCTAGTAGTAAGTCATTTGTGACTTTGACTAGTGCCGTTTCAGTCTATGATGAGCTCTGAATCCTGATTGAAAGACTTCAAACATATTATTTTCCTGCAGGTGGCAGCGAAGCTGCTCAGCTATAAGTTTTTCCAGAATTTTAGATATAAAAGTGAGGTTTGAGATCGGTCTGTAGTTTGTAACTATTTCTGGGTCCAGGTTTATTTTCTTCAGAAGGGGTTTGATTACCGTGGTTTTAAAAGCTTGTGGGACATAGCCACATTGTATGGATGCGTTTATTATATTTACGATAGGCTCAATTATCAAAGGAAGTATGTCTTTGAAGAGCCATGTCGGGACTGCGTCTAACATGCAAGTTGAGGCTTTTGAGGATGTGACCACAGAGATCACCTCTGCTTGGCTCACAGCCATGAATTTATCGAGGCCCACTGAAGTGGGAAGTCACGTATGCCGCTTCAGCCTGTCCACTACCAACAGCAGGAGTAACCTCCTCCAGTTTGTCACGGATGAATGTAATTTTATTATTAAAGAAGTGGAGAAAGTCGACACTGCTCAGTGAGCTTGGAATTTCAGGCTCGATTGCGCTATGGCAGTTTGTGAGTTTAGCGACGGTGCTAAACAAAAATCTACTGTTGTTTTTATTCGCTTCTATTAAAGTTGATTGGTATTGAGTTCGAGCTTTGACGCTGGATGTCAACATTGGAGACATCACAGCCGTAGGTCAGGACAAGGTCCAAGGTGTGGTTATGAATGTGAGTAGGTTCCTCAACATTCTGAGTAAAACCAACACCATCTAGTACGGCGCTGAAAGCTTTGTTTAAGCTGTCAGTGCTGTCGTCCACATGTATATTGACGTCTCCAGTTATAACTATGTTTTCCCATTCCAAAACTAGGTTTGAAATGAAGTCAGAGAATTCTGTTAGGAACTCGCTGTAAGGACCAGGAGGTCGGTATAAAACTATAAATAGCACCGCTTTTTGTTTTCTCCACCCAGGACAGGTGATTGAAAGTGTTAAGTTTTCAAACGAGTGAAAAGCATTGTTGGTTTTGGGACTAAGAACCAAGTTGGTGTGTGATATAATCGCAACACCACCGCCGCGACCTGTAGTTCTGGCTTTCTGGTAGTTGACATGCGTCGGAGGAGTGCACTCATTCAATCTAACGTAGTCGTCCTGTTGGAGCCAAGTCTCATGCCTCATACATAGAGGACACTACTCGAAAGTCAAGTTAAACAAATTATCTCCTCAAACGTCACCCCTCTGTGATAGATGCAAGACTGCTCAAGGCACACTTGCTCATTTATTCTGGCTCTGCCCCACTCTGAGGTTTCTGGTGTTCGATATTTCGATGGTATTCTGGTGCATTTGGGGTAAACATAGATCCTGACCCTGAGACTGCTCTCATTGGTTTTTACAGAACCCTGGAGAGTCTAGGACATAATGCCACCACGGTTGTGTCATAGGGGATGGTTATAGCAAAGAGATGCATTTAAAAGCCTGGAAATCTTCCTCTGCACCTGTCTTCCAAGCATGGCTTAGAGTTAATGGGTGTATTACACATTGAAAGAATGAGGTAGGAGCTGGCTGGCAAGCCCCATAACTTTTATAATGTAAGGAAACCTTTAAACCCCCCCCCCTTATTGATCTCACACAGGAGAAATGTACATGTCACATTTGGCATGGATAGAATAACTCCGATTTGTACAAAAGAAAGTGTGCAAACATGTTAAAATACAAAAATAAACAAAATACAAATATTAGTAATATATATACACATATATTTTATATAAAATATAAATAAAAACTAGTTTCATTATTAACACCTCTAATATTAGTATATTACCTTAATATAAATATTAGTTGTGCTAACACTGTTATTTAAATTACAAATGTAACAAAATACTTCCGATTACCAAAGGAAGCACTTTTATTTTGAAGGTGTCCACCTTAACCACAACAGAGAGCTTGACTGATTAAGTTGTTTTGGGACTCGTTAAAACCAGAAATAAAACATGTCAGACACAATTTTGACCTTTTTTTGCAGACAGTCAATGCATCGGGTCGGTAACCACACGTTTTTTACCCGACTGTTCCCGCAGTTCGCTGTCTTTTTTCCTTTTTTCATAACTCCGCTTCACAGCGTCTCAGCCTCTGCTCAGGGCTGCGCGACTGACAACAACAAGGTTGGAGGGAGGGGAGGGAGGAGAGGGAGGGGGGGAGAGGGAGGGTTGAAAGTGCTACTTAAGGACATAACGTATGAGGATCATGGGAGACAGTAAGTGACAACTTTAACAACCAATCAAATGGGTGATTCCGGATATGAAGGGCCTCGTAACTGCACGAGTGAGAGCGATGACAAAAAAAAAAAAAAAAAAAAAGAGTCCGCTCTCCGGGGCCCTTCCAGTCAGAGCCGGCGCTCTGACTAGGATCTTAGTTTAGTTGAAGAAGTCATAAGACACAGTCACAAGATCCAGTAAAAGCAAACCATACATTAAGGACAGCCATGTACATTGTCCTAACATTAGTGCTGCTCACATGTCTGCCTCATGACTGAGAAACGGATCATTAGAGTCAGCTGCTTCTACCATTTTGGCCCAAATGTTCCCAACACATTTTGAAGATACATGCTGTATCTGTAGAAGTTATAATAGCAGATACTACATTATCTTTTTTCATTTCTGTCATGTAACCGTTTTCATAATCTGTGACAATTATCTATTGATACTGTATGTTGTGTGTTTATAAATAAAAATCTATAACGTTTTGAAAAAAAAAAACCTTAGTTTCACATTTATAAAGCGTTTTTTCAAAAAAAATGACAATAGAGAATTACTTTATGTAATTTTAATGCAGGAATGATTATATAGTTTCCAAAAAGCGCCGAAAATGCAAAGCGTATACAACAATACAATATATATAATAATATACTAAAAACAGCTAATACAAACTTTCTGGTGCCTCCCAGCCCAATTCCTCCTTTCCCTCCGAGCTGTGAAGCAGTCTCTGTGAGGGGCTGTGAAGCAGTCTCTGTGAGGGGCTGTGAAGCAGTCTCTGTGAGGGTCTGTGAAGCAGTCTCTGTGAGGGTCTGTGAAGCAGTCTCTGTGAGGGTCTGTGAAGCAGTCTCTGTGAGGGTCTGTGAAGCGGTCTCTGTGAGGGTCTGTGAAGCAGTCTCTGTGAGGGTCTGTGAAGCGGTCTCTGTGAGGGTCTGTGAAGCAGTCTCTGTGAGGGGCCGTGAAGCGGTCTCTGTGAGGGGCTGTGAAGCGGTCTCTGTGAGGGGCTGTGAAGCAGCAGTTCTCTGTGAGTAAGACCGTTGTCAATCACTGGCGTTCTCCCTCTGAGTTAACTCTTTCCTTTCTTTTAGCAGACAAAAGCCACAGAGGTGAAGTGTGCGCTTCCTTCCACCCTCTAGTCTTGTCACTGCCCCCACTGCCTGGAGGCACGAGTCCCGAGGCCTCTTGAGACCTGGTTCCCTGAGTGGGACGACCCAGTGCCCACGCCGCCTCGCCTGCTGAGGCAGGGACATTTTTTCACAACCCCTCTCTTCTGAATTGTTCCCCTGAAGTACCAATGAAATACCAATCAATCAACACAATTAAATGTTAATTGGAGAATACTTATACATTTACATTCTTCCCACGCGTGCACAGAGATTTTCAGATTTTACTGCTCTTGTCTTCATGACAAAAATACTATTTATCTGCGTCAAAAAGCATCATGATAAACCCGGAAGTAGTTCCAGCCGCTCCGGAGCTAGCCACGCTCATTAAACGCAAATGCCAATCAATCAACGCAATTAAATGTTAATCGGAGAGTACAGTATATATTATAAGTTTTCAGAATTTTCCGTTTACGTTTTCATGACAAAAACACTGATGTAATGCGAGAAAAGGCGATCCAGAAAAACCCGGAAGTAGATACGGCACATTTTTGGACACATTTGCAGAGGATCAAATCATGGATTTAGGTTAAGTTTATGTTTGGGTCACTCACCGCTGATGTTCACAATTCTTTGTTCAGTTTTCATGCAGTTCCAGAGAGTTCTAGTTTGGAAGTTGATAGCCTAACTGTTGCTTGCATAGCCACAGGAAAGCCTTTGGGAACTATTGGGAACTAAATAAGTACCTTCAGGGCAGAAGCAGTCCGCTTCGCCCTGTCGGTACTTATTTTCCGATAATGACCTGCATATCGGGGCGACAGTAGCTCAGCTGGTAGAGCATTGGCCTTCAGGCCTGAAGGTCGTGGGTTCAATTCCCACCTCTACACCTTCTCCACCGACTCCCACTGATGACTGCTGTCGTTGTGTCCTTGGGCAAGACACTTAACCCCACTTTGCCCAAAGCCCCCACTGAAAGATCAAGGCTATGCTCACACTCAGAGAGCAGCCGTCCTCCTGTGGACTCACCACCTGCAGAGGGTCAGTGAGGGGCTGGTGCTATGAGACTTGGGTGGCATCTCTGATTGCCACCCCCCTGACCCAGAAATGGATTAAAGGGTAGAAAATGGATGGATGGATGGATGGACCTGCATAATATACGTTATCCCTTACTTAATCTCAGTATTGGGCCAGACGACAGGTGCGAATCACGTTCCAACTCTGGCTCAAGCACTACAACTACCACAAGACATTTTTTCTTCAGAGACGACATAGATAAAAATAGAGATGCGGAGAAGTGTAACCCGGGTCATTTTTACCTAAGTCTTTACAAGTCAATAGGCACAAGTCCAAGTGAAAGTCAGAGTCATTGATGTTAGTCAATGAAGTCTAAGTCGAGTCTAAAGTCATCAAATTCATGACTGGAGTCTGACACGAGTCCAAGTCACATGAGTAGAGTCCACACCTCTGGTTAAGACTGAAGTGTGATCCTGTAGAGTCTGACTCTGGGTTCACATGATGCAGCCTCAGCTCTGTCTCTTTCACTTTGTTCCAGATGCTTCGTCTTCACACCTGCTTCTTACAGGTTTTCATGTGTCCACGAAGAGATGGCCTTTGTGTAAAAGACTTTCCACACTTTTCACAGACAAATGGTTTCTCTCCCGTATGGATCCTCTGATGATCTTTGAGAGAAACACTGCGAGTAAAACTCTGACCACAAACGTCACAGCTGAAGGGTTTTTCCCCAGTGTGGATTCTGCTGTGGCCCTTGAGATGTTCTGCTTGAGAAAAACACGTTCCACACTGATCACACTCGTACGGCTTCTCTCCAGTGTGGCTCCGATGGTGACGTGTGCGCTCTTCTGTAGTTCTAAAAGTTTTACGGCAGTAGTCAGATGCAAATGGTTTTTCCCCAGTGTGAATTCTCTTATGACTTTTGTAGTGTGAAGACTGAGTAAACTCCTTCCCACAGTCTCCACAGACGAATGGTTTTTCTCCAGTGTGAATTCTCTCATGTCTTTTGTAGTTTGAAAACCGAGTAAACTCCTTCCCACAGTCTCCACAGACGAATGGTTTTTCTCCAGTGTGTGTTCTGTAGTGCTGAGTGAGCTGAGATAAACATGTAAAAGTCTTCTCACACTGGTCACATTGATGAAGTTTCTCTCCTGTGTGGACATGCTGATGTAGTGAGAGCAGCTGTTTGGTCCTAAATTTTTGTCCACATTCGTCACACTCAAATGGTTTCTCTCCTGTGTGGATCCTCTGATGTCTTTTCAGAGTAGTCTTATGTCTAAAACTCTGACCACAAACGTCACAGCTGAAGGGCTTTTCTCCAGTATGGATTCTGCTGTGGCTCCGGAGATTTGCTGCTTGAGTAAAACATGTTCCACACAGATCACACTTGTATGGTTTTTGTCCAGTGTGAGTTCTGTGGTGTCTCTTTAGTTCAGAAGCAGAGCTGCAGGTCTTTCCACACTGATCACAGGTGAACCCCGTTCTGTCGATGGACTTTGTAGATCTGCAAACAAAGAGTAAAGTATTGCATTACTTTCTCACTTTAGTCTTTTCTTACTCGATTAGACCTAAATAGAAATCACAGCTCCAGAACTGACCTTGTTGTCTGTGAACAGTGGAAGGAATTATCTCATGCTTGGTCTTTTGTTATTTCTGCCTTAAACTTTTTATTACAGATTAATAGTGTCAGTAACATGCAGCTTATGGTCTCCTCACTGAGTGCACACAGGACAAGTGCGCCCTCTGCTGGCAGCAACTAACATGACAACAGATAATAAACTGCATATAACACTTGAACAGGACGATAATGGGACTGCTACGACGTCTGCTTGCTGTGACTCACCTATGCCTGCTTGTTGTGACTCTACAACGTCCCCCCCGCCCCCACCCTCCGTGATGGACTCCCCCATCACCTCTGTGGAGTCCTATCGTTTCCTGGGCACCACTATCACCCAGGACCTCAAGTGGGAGCCGACCATCAGCTCCCTCATCAAGAAGGCCCAGCAGAGGATGTACTTCCTGCGGCAGCTCAGGAAAGCCAAGCTGCATGCACAGATGTTGGTGCAGTTCTACACGGCCATCATCGAGTCCATCCTCACCTCCTCCATCACCTCCTCCATCACCTCCTGCATCACCTCCTCCATCACCTCCTCCATCACCTCCTCCATCACCTCCTCCATCACCTCCTCCATCACCTCCTCCATCACCTCCTCCATCACCTCCTCATCACCTCCTCATCACCTCCTCCGTCACCGTGTGGTTCTGGAGCCACAGTCAGGGACAAACAGAGACTACAGTGCATTGTGCGCTCTGCAGAGGAAGTGATCGGCCGCAGCCTTCCATCTTTTTCAAATTTTGTGATAATTTATTACCTTTAAACCATGTTTTTACTTTTCTCAATTCCACAGTTACTGTAGACAAAAGTTGCTCCAAATTGTCACCTGGACATATAAGAGTCGTGTCATCAGCAAAGAGAACTTTGATACTTTGCATATTTCATTAATGTATAACGATGGACAACATAAAAAACACATGTACCTTCAAAATGACCAGGGGATTTTTGATCAGTGAAACGTTCGAGCAGCGGAGCGGCAAAATGTGACCTTTTTTGACCGTTTTTGACAACATTAAATTTGCTCCCGTTTGTACATACAAAGTCTGATTTGCACAAAACTTGAATACATTGTTCAACTCTAGGGTCTAGGTCAATTGAAAGTGAAATAAATGAACTTGGCTCATTAGCGCCCCCTACAGAAAGTGTCAATTCTTTTAGTATGGGAAGAGTTCGAGGTCAAGTTTATACTAGAGCCATGACATTCGGTACACATGTTCCTCAACTCAAGACATGAAAAAAAATGTTATTATGGCTCCGCCCCTTGACAAACAGGAAGCCCATAAATTTCATTTCAAAATGGAAAAAATTATCCTTTTCATGGAAATCTTCTCCTCCTCGGCCGTTTCACCGATTCGCCTCAAAATCGCTCCACATCATCTCAACACATGTACCTTCAAAATGACCAAAGGGATTTTTGATCAGTGAAACGTTGTTTGAGCAGCGGAGCGGCAAAATGTGACCTTTTTTGGCCGTTTTTGACAACATTAAATTTGCTCCCATTTGCACAAACAAAGTCTGATTTGCACAAAACTTGAATCCATTGTTCAACTCTAAGGTCTTTAACATTTCTGATCCACTTTTATGGATTCTCTTCTCTTGAGATCTGCCTTCATCATCATCATTGCCTTCAGTAAAGGCAATGAAATGTATTTGTTCACAACATTTTTTGTGTGCACAAATAACATGCATTGTCAATGCAAGCAAAAATTTAAGTACCTGAGCTTTAATTGTGAGTTTTGGCTGTGCTTCGTGAGGAGACTTGGGGAGAGACGGGGGAGACAGGCAAGACATGCATGTGCAACAAGCTGGGGACGGTCCTGATCGCACATGTATGATTCTGTCTGAGCGTCTATGGTCCACGACCACGTTACTGTGCGTCTATGGTCCGCGGTACATGACCACGTTACTGTGCGTCTATGGTCCGCGGTACATGACCACGTTACTGTGCGTCTATGGTCCGCGGTACATGACCACGTTACTGTGTGTCTATGGTCCGCGGTACATGACCACGTTACTGTGCGTCTATGGTCCGCGGTACATGACCACGTTACTGTGCGTCTATGGTCCGCGGTACATGACCACGTTACGGCTGTGCGTCTATGGTCCGCGGTACATGACCACGTTACAGCTGTGCGTCTATGGTCCGCGGTACATGACCACGTTACGGCTGTGCGTCTATGGTCCGCGGTACATGACCACGTTACTGTGAGTCTATGGTCCGCGGTACATGACCACGTTACTGTGTGTCTATGGTCCGCTGTACATGACCACGTTACTGTGCGTCTATGGTCCGCTGTACATGACCGCGTTACTGTGCGTCTATGGTCCGCTGTACATGACCACGTTACTGTGCGTCTATGGTCCGCTGTACATGACCACGTTACTGTGCGTCTATGGTCCGCTGTACATGACCACGTTACTGTGCGTCTATGGTCCGCTGTACATGACCACGTTACTGTGCGTCTATGGTCCGCGGTACATGACCACGTTACCCTGTGCATCTATGGTCCGCGGTACATGACCACGTTACGGCTGTGCGTCTATGGTCCGCGGTACATGACCACGTTACGGCTGTGCGTCTATGGTCCGCGGTACATGACCACGTTACTGTGAGTCTATGGTCCGCGGTACATGACCACGTTACTGTGCGTCTATGGTCCGCTGTACATGACCACGTTACTGTGCGTCTATGGTCCGCGTACATGACCACGTTACTGTGCGTCTATGGTCCGCGGTACACGACCACGTTACTGTGCGTCTATGGTCCGCGGTACACGACCACGTTACTGTGCATCTATGGTCCGCGGTACACGACCACGTTACTGTGCATCTATGGTCCGCGGTACATGACCACGTTACCTGTGCGTCTATGGTCCGCGGTACATGACCACGTTACCTGTGCGTCTATGGTCCGCGGTACATGACCACGTTACTGTGCGTCTATGGTCCGCGGTACATGACCACGTTACTGTGCGTCTATGGTCCGCGGTACATGACCACGTTACTGTGCGTCTATGGTCCGCGGTACATGACCACGTTACCCTGTGCGTCTATGGTCCGCGGTACATGACCAAGTTACCTGTGCGTCTATGGTCCGCGGTACATGACCACGTTACCTGTGCGTCTATGGTCGCGGTACATGACCACGTTACGCTGCGTCTATGGTCCGGTACAGACCAGTTATGGTCTATGGTCCGGTACAGACCACGTTACTGTGCGTCTATGGTCCGCGGTACATGACCACGTTACGGCTGCATCTATGGTCCGCGGTACACGACCACGTTACTGTGGTCTATGGTCCGCGTACATGACCACGTTACTGTGTGTCTATGGTCCGCTGTACATGACCACGTTACTGTGCGTCTATGGTCCGCTGTACATGACCGCGTTACTGTGCGTCTATGGTCCGCTGTACATGACCACGTTACTGTGCGTCTATGGTCCGCTGTACATGACCACGTTACTGTGCGTCTATGGTCCGCTGTACATGACCACGTTACTGTGCGTCTATGGTCCGCTGTACACGACCACGTTACTGTGCGTCTATGGTCCGCTGTACACGACCACGTTACTGTGCGTCTATGGTCCGCTGTACACGACCACGTTACTGTGCGTCTATGGTCCGCGGTACATGACCACGTTACCCTGTGCGTCTATGGTCCGCGGTACATGACCACGTTACCCTGTGCGTCTATGGTCCGCGGTACATGACCACGTTACTGTGCGTAACGCCGTTTCACCGATTCGCCTCAAAATCGCTCCACATCATCTCAACACATGTACCTTCAAAATGACCAAAGGGATTTTTGATCAGTGAAACGTTGTTTGAGCAGCGGAGCGGCAAAATGTGACCTTTTTTGGCCGTTTTTGACAACATTAAATTTGCTCCCATTTGCACAAACAAAGTCTGATTTGCACAAAACTTGAATCCATTGTTCAACTCTAAGGTCTTTAACATTTCTGATCCACTTTTATGGATTCTCTTCTCTTGAGATCTGCCTTCATCATCATCATCGCCTTCAGTAAAGGCAATGAAATGTATTTGTTCACAACATTTTTTGTGTGCACAAATAACATGCATTGTCAATGCAAGCAAAAATTTAAGTACCTGAGCTTTAATTGTGAGTTTTGGCTGTGCTTCGTGAGGAGACTTGGGGAGAGACGGGGGAGACAGGCAAGACATGCATGTGCAACAAGCTGGGGACGGTCCTGATCGCACATGTATGATTCTGTCTGAGCGTCTATGGTCCACGACCACGTTACTGTGCGTCTATGGTCCGCGGTACATGACCACGTTACTGTGCGTCTATGGTCCGCGGTACATGACCACGTTACTGTGCATCTATGGTCCGCGGTACACGACCACGTTACTGTGCATCTATGGTCCGCGGTACATGACCACGTTACGGCTGTGCGTCTATGGTCCGCGGTACATGACCACGTTACGGCTGTGCGTCTATGGTCCGCGGTACATGACCACGTTACGGCTGTGCGTCTATGGTCCGCGGTACATGACCACGTTACGGCTGTGCGTCAATGGTCCACAGCTTTAGTTTGATAAATGACCGGATCTCTCCAAACGACTCAGGCACTTGACACAATCGCGTGGAGCCGACATGTAAACAAGACCGCGTTCAGACAGCAGCACCCTACACAGAGGCTCTACTGATTTTTACCATGGATCTATTATAATATATATAGTTTTACAAACGCGGGGTGAAGAGAAGAGACACATGAAGGAATAACGTCTGTGTGAGGTTAAAACTATGGTAATCAAAAAAGCTGAAAAAATATAGAGCCGCGGAGGACATGGCAAAGCTCATGTTAGCATTAGCGTTAGCCACAGCGCCCTATCTGCATCACCAGGTAAGAAAAACAGAACATTCACTTACGCTGCTGATACATTATTCTGGAGATTGTTTTGTGGGGATTCTGTGTGTGTTTTATTTGAGGCTTGTCCCTGAATAACTTAAGTTGAAACTTGTGACAGTAGTTGGACTGCGCTTGGATTGGGTCAGAACATCCTGAGACTGTTGCAGATTCTGTCTTATTCTCATTCAGTCAGTGTGAAAAAGTTTCTTATTGTTCAGGTGTGAGTCTGTTGTGTACAAACTACACAATGTACCTCCTGTTGTGTTAAAGCCGTCTTTGTGTGTGTGGTTTGCGATGTTGACACTTTGCTGCTATGACGCTGGACTTCTGCCTAATTATTTTTCTAAAAGATTGCTATTCGGATTGTTCTTTTACATAACTGTGGTCCTCCATGGTTCATTCTTCCAACTTGTGAAGGCACAGTGAAAGCGACGATATCATTAGCTCATTTGAAACGAATCGCGTTTCTTGCATTTTTTTGTCCCTTATCCAACACTGTTTTCAAAATGGCGCATTTAAACTGAGAGCACCCCTTCTCTTATGGACACTTATAAGTTTTGAAGGTACATGTGTTGAGATGATGTGGAGCGATTTTGAGGCGAATCGGTAAAACGGCCGAGGAGGAGTCGCTTTCCAACCGACATGTATGAAAACTTTTGCTGTTCATTTTTCCATTTTGCAGTGAAATTCATGGGCTTCCTGTTTGTCAGAGGGCGGAGCCATAATAAT